CGTGTGGCTTGTCTTAAAAGCTGTATTTGTCTCATTACTTATTGGCACCTGCTGATGTGCAGAAAACGGAAGTTACATGTCTCCAAGGTGAGCACGTCCAGACTCAGAAGCGGGTTAAAGGTGCTGATGAAACCGTGAGATGAAGTCAAATATTGACGAGGAAACCTTTTAAGAGGCCAGAATAAGTGAAATTCGATGGAATCGTTTCACGATATTAGAAACTTTTTAAGCATTCAAAAGTATGGCATCTCAGCTTTATTCATCGTTACGAAAACCATTTTTATTATGGAATCATAATCTAGTCCACATAGAAAGAGCGTTTTGTAAATACCACAACAACTGTTGAAAAAGTAAAAATTTAAAAAGTCCAAAAGATTTTTAAAACATTTACAAGAATATATCAACTCACATCAATATTGAGGATGACAATTTATAGCGAAATATTGTAATCATTTAACTAGAAACAACATTATTGTAAATACAAATAGAATTGCTGCATTTAAATTAATGTATATCAAATTAGGGGGACATTTAGACAGTTCAGAGCATATAGATCAAATAAAAGTATGAAATACCCTACTCAAGTAAAAGCTTTTTTCTAAATTATCGAATAAACCCAAAGCAAATTAGACATGTTATGAAATATTTCTTTGAAAACGAAATCTAAACACCAACTGGCGGGTCAATCGTCGTCTATTTTAAGCATAAATTCCATGACTTTTTGTAATAAAGCCGGCAAGGTCGTGACATTTTTACAGAGGCTCCACGAAACAACTTGTTTACCCTTGGTTCGTGGTCAGCTCTATTTGGGTGAAGTATCACGTCATTTGTGATAGCAAGAGGCAGAGCGCATTTTCAATTGTTGATAAAACGTTGATTCTATAGCATTTTCAAAGTCCCGATTTGATGTAAATCTTACGCGAGTTTTTATTCCTGACATGCAAAATGACCTTGACTGATGTCCTTCTTCTAGAATTAAGAAGAGGGGAATATTAAAGTATGTATGGTTTATTTATGCATTATATTACCAATAGCACAATGTGCATACCTAGCACTGTTTGCATGAGACACCAATGAAGATATGAACACCAAGATGGTGTTGTCCGCGGTATGGTCGCAGTGTCCGTTCGATTTATAGAATTGGGTTGATCTCGTTGTCGCAATTTGGTCTTGCTGTCATGGCGACTTAGTGGAGCGCATCTGGTCCGAAGTCCTCTGCAATATTAGTCATCATAATTCTCAGCATCAGACCGTGGACTTGGTACATTCTCGGACGTTTCGCCGGAATCATCAGTCAGTGCTACCATTCTTCGCGTCAAGTTGCAAACTTGTCAAAGAGACGAGGGAAGTCAATTCCTCGACCAAAGTTCTGCCGAAAACGGTAACACTTGTCTCTTTTGACGAGTGAGTAGTTTGGTGCGGAGAGTGGCAAGACTATCTGAGGAGACAAAATGGGAAATGGAGATGAACTAAATCCAAAGATCTTGGCATATCAAGAACGAACAGACAAGAAGGAATTTGCCAAGATGCATCAAACGATGAAAAGCAATGAACAATTAGTCCTTTAGGCAAATAATAGACAGATGTATTCACCCAATTTCATTTAAGTTGATGAAGAACTGGTAAAAGTGGAATTTTCCCACAAATGATATGAGTTGAGCTGACGTTTCCATTGAATTTTTACATAGCTTTGCTTTCCCA